CTTTTACAGGGATCTTGATCTTTTCACTATATTCTATCCATTAAATCTAGACTATTTAAGAGTTGGCCAATCAGAACAGAGGTCATTTGCATATAAAGGTACAGGCATGTGCTGTAGTCTTTAACTCATGTACAGCATGACGCATGATGTCAATTACCACAGAAAATAATTACAGTACCTTAGAAAGTCTCTGGGGCAAGATGAAGTTTTATAAGCAGAAACGTGAATCTAGTTTTTGATAAGAGCTTGCATTAATTATTCGGTTAATAAAATGTGCTATCTGTGCACTGAAGTTTCAAATCATCCCTTTAGGAGTATACTTCTGTTCTAGACACATTTAGTTATTCTCTTTAATGAATGATTCAATGACTCATTCATTAAGATTTCACTCGTTTCACGACTGGATGAATCAGCATTTTTGAACGAATCTCTTGAATGAATGATTCAATGACTCACTCATAAAGACTTCACTTGTTTTAATTACTGGATGAATCAGCATTTTTGAACAAATCTCTTTAATGAATGATTCAATGACTCATTCATTAAGATTTCACTCGTTTCATTACTGGATGAATCAGCATTTTTGAACGAATCTCTTGAATTAATGATTCAATGACTCACTCATAAAAACTTCACTCATTTCATTACTGGATGAATCAGCATTTTTGAATGAATCTCTTTAATGAATGATTCAATGACTCACTCATTAAGATTTCACTTGTTTTATTACTGGATGAATCAACGTTTATGAACGAATCTCTTGAATGAATGATTCAATGACTCACTCATAAAAACTTCACTCATTTCATTACTGGATGAACCAGCATTTTTGAACGAATCTCTTGAATGAATGATTCAATGACTCACTCATTAAGATTTCACTTGTTTTATTACTGGATGAATCAACGTTTTTGAACAAATCTCTTGAATGAATGATTCAATGACTCACTCTTAACAAATCTCTTAAATAAAGCTCTAATAAATAGTATAATAGTGTTTACCAAAATAATAACCGGCAGGGCAGATAAAACGTGGGAAAGACTCAAAAATAGTTAAACTAGTCCTCCTGTAAACATCAACAGTTCTCTAGCTAGGTTTGATCTGATTCTTGGCCCTGACAGTTCAGTTTTGGATCAGTATGCATGTAAACTGTCTTCACGAAGCCCTCGTCACCCTCAGTAACAGAATCCCTCTTCTGACGTCTCGGATCAGCAGCCAAATGCTCCTCTGGAAGAGTTTTCTCAGTCTTTCTCTAATCACAGGCTTGCTTGGCAACCAAAGCTCCGGGAAGCAATCAATAAAACCTTGTTACTCTAATTGTGAGATTATAATCTCGACCGCGACGTCTTCTGCATACTCAAACGGCGAGTCCATTAGAGACATTTCCCAGCTACTTTCTTCAGCCAAGAATGCAAATGCAAAGACTAACATTTACGCTGCGCTATCACATTGAGATGAACTTCAGCTGATAAAAGATGAGTAAATCGACACAGTGCTGGAGGACGGCTTAGCATGCTAATCAGAAGCAGCGCTTTCAGGCTGAGATCACGTTTAAAGGGATAGTTCACCCAAAAATAGAAATTCTGTCATTATTTTCTCACCCTCATGTCAGTCTGAACCAGTATGCTGTTACTTATTTCATACAAATTGTGCACTATATTTATGTAAAAAAAAAATGTATATATATATTGAAAGAAGTCTATTATGCTCACTTTCAGTCAGATTTTTTAATTAAAAAACTTTCAGTCAGATTTCCTAATGCTTTTGATAGGAGTCTCTTCTGCTCATCAAGGCTGCATTTATTTGATCAACAATACAGTAAAAATTGTGATATATTATTATGATTCAAAAGAACGGTTTTCTATGTGAATATATAATAAAGTGTAATTTATTCCTGTGATCGAAGCTGAATTTTCAGCATCATTACTCCAGTCTTCAGTGTCACATGATCCTTCAGAAATCACTCTAATATGATGATTTGCTGCTCGAGAAACATTTTCAGGATTCTTTGATGAATAGAATGTTCAGAATTTATTTGAAATAGAATCTTTTGTAACATTCTAAATGTCTAAACTGTCACTTTTGATCAATTTAATACGACACGAGCGTAAATAAAAAGAGAGAGAGGTTTAATTTTGGGGTGTAATATTCCTCATAACTCGCAAGTTCAGCAGAAAACGTGACGCAGAACAGAAGAAGCATTGATGTTTTCTCTTTGTAATCAATTCTCTCGCTGTATCTGTCCGTCTCTCTCACTCTCAGCTTCATTCAGCTCTCTCCTGTCTCTCTCTCTCTGGGTTTTTTCGCTCTTGTTGAGCCACTATCGATCGGTCGAGTTGGCTGGAGGTCAACCCTCGGCGGACTACACACTCTTTTGTTGGCGGCGGTTACCGTGGCGATCCTCGGTGACCCTGAACACACACAGGGCTCGTTAGGGGCCAAACGGAGACGAACTCTCCCCTACAATCAGACGGGGTCAAAGGTCGCAGGAGGACAGCTCAGTCAACGTGAATGTGAAGACTCCTGGGAAGGACACGGCGCCTGATCCCAGACCCAAACGAGTGTGTGATGGACTGGCCTTGTGTGTGGCCGTTCGGGATCAGGCCTGTTTCCATGACAGTCCTTTTCAATGGAACCTTTTCAAATGGAATCAGTTTCAAAGTAACAGCGAATAATAATAAATAAAAAAAAGAGATCAAACAGCCTCTCCTGATCTTCACATGTACAGTGGGATCTGAGAGCTTTTTGCATAATTGAATACACTTTTTGTCATTATGGTTTATATTGTCAGATTAATGAACAAAACCTCGATCATCTTGAGCTTCAATGGAAGAAGAAAATCTGAACGTCTGTACAAAGAGTCACATGATTAACATCAATATGTCTACATATGACCGATTAAAACTAATGAGTGTCAATGATCATAATAATGCAGAATCATTTATAATGTATAGTATATATTTATACGGTAACACGAAGGTCTCATTTGTTAAGATTAGTTCATGCATTAATGAACTAACATTAACTAGATGAAACCTGATTGTAAAGTGTTGCCATTTATACTTATTAAACCTTTATATTTCTATAATATTTTTTATTCCCCAAAATTTGTTTATTTCTAGATTTAAATGGTTTAAACTCATTTACTTACATTTGATGAGTCACATAAAAATATTACATAATTTATTTATTATAAATAATGCAGTCATTTAATTAAGACCTTATAATATTTATATTTCTATAATCTTTTCTTTTTTTTTTTTGTCTTAGGGATAAATTAACTCATTACTTACATTTGATTAGTCCCAAAAAATATTACATAATTTACATCATTTATGTATTACATACAAGCAGTCATTTAATCTATATAATTTATAGTATGTATTTATACTTATGACAAGACATAATATTTATATTTCTGTCATTTTTTTCCTAGGAATAAATTAACTCATCACTTACATTTGATTAGTCACATAGAAATAATGTAGAATCCTTTAACATTTAATTTTTAAAATGTACAGTACCTTTTAACACTTAAACTTAATATAACATTTATATTTCTATAATATTCTTATTTCTAAAAATTCATTTAAAAAAGTTCTAGGTTTAAATTAATTAATTTACATTTGATTAGTCATACAGAAATAATGCAGAATATTTTAATATTTATAATTTAAATAATGTATTTAATTTAAAACCTTAAAATAGTTGTATTTTTATCATATTTGTATTATATTATTTGTATATTAATTTTATATCAGAATGTTTCTTTATTTTCAGGTTTAAATGAAAAAAATCTGCTGTCAAACTTTTGAACCCAATTGACCCTTCGCTAAGACACGTAAACTGATGATCTCTTTACTACTAGTTATAGCCCGAAATAAACATAATTGAATATCAGAAGGTTTGTTATTTCCTCCGTGGAAAGACGTCAATACGCACCATCTTTCGAGTTAATTTACTAGCTCTCCTGTCTGTTTTTTTTGTCATTGCGTTATGATTGGTCAGATCGTCTGTCAATCAAACTCCCAGCGAATGGTGAATTGCATACACACAAATACACATAAACAAATAGCACTAGGATTTTCTGAAATACATTACAGAAGTAAAACATGCTGTGAAACACAGCGGTTACCTCCGTCTTTTTGCCAGTTTGTTATTAAACCATTTTAATATAATAATATAACAATTAAAAAAGAAGACACAAATATAATAATAAAAACAGCGAATGTCAAGTTGATATGTTTTCATATGCAAGACAATTAATTCAATCTTGTCAAGCTGTTTTTGCATAACTATTACTGAGCATCACTGTCGTTTGAAGAACCAAAAATAGACATTATGATCTATATTTATATACGTATATATATTAAAAATCTCTCATGAAAATCCAATAAGAGAGACGCTGTTAATAAAGAAGAAAGACATTATTAGCTAGTTGGGGTTGTTTGTCTGGCTGTGGTCTGTCTGTGTGTGTGTGTGTGTGTGTGTGTGTGTGTGTGTGTGTGTGTGTGTGTGTGTGTGTGTGTGTGTGTGTGTGTGTGTGTGTGTGTGTGTGTGTGTGTGTGTGTGTGTTACATTACAGCGTTAAAGGCAGCATCAGTCTGAACTGCCTGAGCCTGGTCAAGCGCAGTAGATCCGCAGACAGATGTCAAATAAGAGTCTCAGAGTAAACAAACCAAGACAAAAGAAGAGATTGGAGGAGCTTTATCAGATCCTCTTCAAGTTTATCCCACAGAACCAAGACTGAACCGTATACCGAATATACAGTGTGCAGAATATATTCACTATGATTTGGCCATTAATATTCCTAAAGAGCATGTTCCTGGTCTCATCCTCGAGATGTTAATATCGTTGGTCTCTAAGTCACACGAAAACCAAAAATACTACTGAACAAAAAGCCATTTTCTATGTTATTTGATTGAAAACACTATAAGATTGAACAAAAAAGCTGTAAATCCAGGCTTTCGAACACCAGGTTTGCGGGTTTTGAATCTTACCTGACTCGGGGAGAGGAACTCTTGGTTGTTCTCACTCATGTACATGTTGTCACCATCAAACTGCGGGCAGATAGAGAGAAGAAGATTAAAGTTTGATCGGTCAGACAGCTGAGATTAAGGAAGATGATTTGCATATCAGACAGAACGTGGAAAAAAGGGAAAGAACAATTCCATCAAAACCGTCAGAGAGAGACGGAGAGAGAGCCAAACACTAGTGTTCATCCTAACTAGATGTTCTGCTTCTTTTGGTTAGATTCGAATAGCATTGCAAATATTGTAATATTCATTTGCAATTCTAGATCTGAGCTTTAATGAGAATGCTGCCTTTATAACACCTTGACCTAACCAGACATGACACGACACTATAACATGTGATAAAAGTCATCTTTTTGTGCATGTCAATCAGAGTTTCTGTCCTAACCAGCCGCGATATACAACAATTCTATTTTAGAAATGGTTTATATTTCTGCAATGTCGCGGCTGGAACAACAACATACAAATTATGACAATGATAATCTCAGGTACTGATTATGTGCTTTTTTTAATGTTAAAAGCATCTAATGTGAGTTTGGATATAATTTTGAATTATCTTATAGCCGTACTGAAAGCGAAAATGGATAATTTACCTCAGAACTACTGTAAAGAAGAAATAAATTAAGAACTCAATGTGAACAAACAAGTGTATTTTATAACAGATTGTTTCAGTAATTCGGTATGTATTTTTAATAATGTTAAAATGGTGTTTTATTTATGAATTTGATTATGAACTGCAGTGCACTTGCAGAGAGACTCCGCCCACACGCTCTTCTGATTGGCTGTGATTAGGGATTAATTTGGTTGCGAGTGCAGTGGCTTGCAGAGACTCCGCCCACACGCTCTTCTGATTGGCTGTGATTAGGGATTGATTTGGTTGTGAGTGCAGTGGCTTGCAGAGAGACTCCGCCCACACGCTCTTCTGATTGGCTGTGATTAGGGATTAATTTGGTTGCGAGTGCAGTGGCTTGCAGAGACTCCGCCCACACGCTCTTCTGATTGGCCGTGATTAGGGATTGATTTGGTTGTGAGTGCAGTGGCTTGCAGAGAGACTCCGCCCACACGCTCTTCTGATTGGCTGTGATTAGGGATTAATTTGGTTGTGAGTGCAGTGGTTTGCAGAGAGACTCCGCCCACACGCTCTTCTGATTGGCTGTGATTAGGGATTAATTTGGTTGTGAGTGCAGTGGCTTGCAGAGAGACTCCGCCCACACGCTCTTCTGATTGGCTGTGATTAGGGATTAATTTGGTTGTGAGTGCAGTGGCTTGCAGAGAGACTCCGCCCACACGCTCTTCTGATTGGCTGTGATTAGGGATTAATTTGGTTGTGAGTGCAGTGGCTTGCAGAGAGACTCCGCCCACACGCTCTTCTGATTGGCTGTGATTAGGGATTAATTTGGTTGTGAGTGCAGTGGCTTGCAGAGAGACTCCGCCCACACGCTCTTCTGATTGGCTGTGATTAGGGATTGATTTGGTTGTGAGTGCAGTGGCTTGCAGAGAGACTCCGCCCACACGCTCTTCTGATTGGCTGTGATTAGGGATTGATTTGGTTGTGAGTGCAGTGGCTTGCAGAGAGACTCCGCCCACACGCTCTTCTGATTGGCCGTGATTAGGGATTGATTTGGTTGCGAGTGCAGTGGCTTGCAGAGACTCCGCCCACACGCTCTTCTGATTGGCCGTGATTAGGGATTGATTTGGTTGCGAGTGCAGTGGCTTGCAGAGAGACTCCGCCCACACGCTCTTCTGATTGGCTGTGATTAGGGATTAATTTGGTTGTGAGTGCAGTGGCTTGCAGAGACTCCGCCCACACGCTCTTCTGATTGGCCGTGATTAGGGATTGATTTGGTTGCGAGTGCAGTGGCTTGCAGAGAGACTCCGCCCACACGCTCTTCTGATTGGCTGTGATTAGGGATTAATTTGGTTGTGAGTGCAGTGGCTTGCAGAGAGACTCCGCCCACACGCTCTTCTGATTGGCCGTGATTAGGGATTGATTTGGTTGCGAGTGCAGTGGCTTGCAGAGACTCCGCCCACACGCTCTTCTGATTGGCCGTGATTAGGGATTGATTTGGTTGCGAGTGCAGTGGCTTGCAGAGAGACTCCGCCCACACGCTCTTCTGATTGGCTGTGATTAGGGATTAATTTGGTTGCGAGTGCAGTGGCTTGCAGAGACTCCGCCCACACGCTCTTCTGATTGGCCGTGATTAGGGATTGATTTGGTTGTGAGTGCAGTGGCTTGCAGAGAGACTCCGCCCACACGCTCTTCTGATTGGCTGTGATTAGGGATTAATTTGGTTGTGAGTGCAGTGGCTTGCAGAGAGACTCCGCCCACACGCTCTTCTGATTGGCTGTGATTAGGGATTAATTTGGTTGTGAGTGCAGTGGCTTGCAGAGAGACTCCGCCCACACGCTCTTCTGATTGGCTGTGATTAGGGATTAATTTGGTTGTGAGTGCAGTGGCTTGCAGAGAGACTCCGCCCACACGCTCTTCTGATTGGCTGTGATTAGGGATTGATTTGGTTGTGAGTACAGTGGCTTGCACAGAGACTCCGCCCACATGATCACCTGATTGGCTGTGATTAGGGATTGATTTGGTTGTGAGTGCAGTGGCTTGCAGAGAGACTCCGCCCACATGATCACCTGATTGGCTGTGATTAGGTGATTGATTTGGTTGCGAGTGCAGTGGCTTGCAGAGAGACTCCGCCCACACGCTCTTCTGATTTGCTGTGATTAGGGATTAATTTGGTTGTGAGTGCAGTGGCTTGCAGAGAGACTCCGCCCACACGATCTTCTGATTGGCTGTGATTAGGGATTGATTTGGTTGTGAGTGCAGTGGCTTGCAGAGAGACTCCGCCCACACGCTCTTCTGATTGGCTGTGATTAGGTATTGTTTGGGTTGTGAGTACAGTGGCTTGCACAGAGACTCCGCCCACATGATCACCTGATTGGCTGTGATTAGGGATTGATTTGGTTGTGAGTGCAGTGGCTTGCAGAGAGACTCCGCCCACATGATCACCTGATTGGCTGTGATTAGGGATTGATTTGGTTGCGAGTGCAGTGGCTTGCAGAGAGACTCCGCCCACATGATCACCTGATTGGCTGTGATTAGGGATTGATTTGGTTGCGAGTGCAGTGGCTTGCAGAGAGACTCCGCCCACATGATCACCTGATTGGCTGTGATTAGGGATTGATTTGGTTGCGAGTGCAGTGGCTTGCAGAGAGACTCCGCCCACATGATCACCTGATTGGCTGTGATTAGGGATTGATTTTGTGGCGTCTCTAAGTCACGTCACATCTGGTGTGGACAGAGAAATGTTTTGTCGCTGGAATCTTATGGATTCGCATCTGGTTAGGACACGTTGTCAGAAGGCAAAATATCGGCCATCATATTGGTTATGGACCACCATAAACTTATAATATTGACTATCATATTAGTTATCAGCTTTCACAGATTCATAAAATCTACATATGCACACACACACACACACAAAACGTATTGCACGATTGCACTGCAAGATGAATTATTAAAGATCACATTGTTATCTCAGCAAGTATTCAAACTCGACCTGAATCAAATCTCTAATACATTTCCTCACATGCTCATATTTCATTTGCAAACTACTTTTTCTACTGTCAGACTGAACAGGTGAAAACGAGACAGAAAAACCGTCCTGAAATGATGGAACAGTGTGAAAGGAAGGATATGACAGCTCGAAAGAGAGAATTTAAAACCCGACCACAATTGCCCTGCAGCTTGTGTCCTCAGATTGAAAGGTTGAGAACAAACACGTCGCTCCTGCCTTGGTGAATCTGAGGTCAATTACTCATAACTTATGTTTTAATGCATGCGAAGATGAGCAGGACGAGCAAACGCTGAGGAGCACACGGAGCATCTCAGAAGCTCTGACAGCTGTCGAATATAAGAGGAGGGAGAAGAACGTACAATATAAAAAGTATACATTATAAAAAGGCTAATCTGAGGAGTGCAGAAATAATTATTTTAATCAAAGAAATTAAAGAAATAAAGGACTCAATTAACTTGCTAATCGCTTCTTTCATTCTTTTAATTTACGTCTTAATGTTTTCATAATCACTCGTTAGACAAAACCAAATTGGAAAAACCAAGCGACGCTCATATTTAGACAACAGTTATAAGACAAACAAGCCAAAACAAAAAATAGTTACGCACACAGGCAGTGCGTCAATGTGGTGTTTGCTAAAACCACACAACTCAATATGATACCAGAAACTCAACGGACAGCTCTGAAAAGTCGATAGTATGTACTATATGCACAATATATCACTGAACAAACAGTTTCAGAAATCTGATAGTGTGTGTTTCATAGATTTATATGATCATCAGCACTAAGTAGGGTGCGTGCATCCCTACTAAATGAACAAAAGCCCCACTTTAACTTCATGACAGTGTTTTTTCACTCTAAAGAATGCCGGGTTACTTCAACCCAAATTTGGGTCAAATATGGACACATACAAAATAAAAATGTATACGTTACATATAAAAATGTAATAAAAAAATGTACAGTTGAAAGTGAAAGTTGAAGTTGGGTTAAATTACATTTTTAACCCAATTTGGGTTTGTCCACATTTTACCCAATTTTGGGTTAAAACAACCCAGCATTGTTTAGAGTGTTGACAATGTTTCACATCATGTATTGCATGCATCGGTAAATGCGCCAGAGAAATGTAACACTATAGAATCAGAGTTTCTCTCTTTCTTTCTAGGCTTCCTCATCCATCTCTCTCTCTCTCTCTCTCTCTCTCTCTCTCTCTCTCTCTCTCTCTCTCTCTCTCTCTCTCTCTCTCTCTCTCTCTCTCTCCTCACAGAGAAATGTGATATTATACAGCCGTCCAACATCAAGCATAATGACAAACCCGTCCAACAGCTGATGGGGGTCGTAGAGCATTTCTAATGTGAACACCCCCCACCCCCACACGCATATTATATGTATATGAGTGTGTGTGTGTGAGTTAAACATTCATCATGCATTCATATATTCTATACAGCAAAC